CATGTGGCTGGTAAGCTTTTAGGAAAACGTGTATTTTAATATCAGCATTTTTTACAGGGAACTGCAAGAACCAGCCACAGGAGAAAAACTGCTAGGAGCTAATTATTCTTTCTGGATACTTTAAAACACAGGTAGCATTTTTTCCAACCTTCAAACTTTTTGCAAAGGAAAAAAAAAAAAACTTTTCAGGGGAGGAACAGAACAACCACCAAAAAAAAAAATAGCCACAGGCTGTCATTTCACAGCTCTGCAGAGGTAATCAGGCTGCTGGGAAAATGTTACTTGAGCCTTAAATTAGGCTTGTAAAAGTTACAGAGGAAACACTGTATCTCCTTGGTAGAAAACCTGCCACTTGCAGCTTCAACCTGGAAAACCTCAGCCTGTCTGCTGGCCATCACACCAGGGGCGCAGGGACTAAAGACCAATAGAGCTAGGCAGCAAAGGACAGGAAAATGAATGAGCCCACGCCTCCAGGTAAGGATGCTCCCATGCCTGCCTTCGCCACCAACACAAGTCAGGTGAGCACGCTGCTTAAGGATGCAAATTCTCTGCCCCTGACTGTTCTTCACCACCTGGGCTAGAGAAAAACATCTCTTTGCATGGACAAACCCAGGTTTACAGAGGCATAAAACTGGGCACGTTCTACGGTGGGTGGGTGGGGGGGTTCAGAAAGGGCTCCAACCTTGGTGCTTTGGGCAGCATCAAGATTTCCCCGGCGTGATGGCGCAGTGGCTAAAGTCCTCGCCTTGCACGCCCGGGATCCCATATGGGTGCCAGTTCTAATCCCGGCAGTTCCGTTCCCTGCTTGTGGCCCGGGAAAGCAGTCCAGGACGGCCCAAAGCCTTGGGATTCTCCACCCATGTGGGATACCCGGAAGAGGCTCCTGGCTTCGGATTGGCTCAGTTCCAGCCATTGCAGCCACCTGGAGAGTGAATCATCAGACCAAAGATCTTCCTCTCTCGTCTCTCCTCTCTGTATATCCGCCTTTCCAATACAAATAAAATAAATCTTTAAAAAACAAAAAGACTTCCCCTTGTTCTTTTGCCCTAAAATTCTGCCCCATGAGACAGAAGCCAGCGCTGTGAAAACAAAAGTGAAAGTGGCTGCCGCTTCTCCCACCACCCTGCGCCCCCCGTGTACCACATCTGTTTTGTGGTACACACACACACACACCTGCACACACGAGCTGCTCTTTTCTGAGCAAGCCACGTGTGGACGGACTTTGTGTACTTTTACCCTGTCTTAGTAATGCAGTTTTTGTCAAGCTTTCATTTCTCGCCTTTGAAATGACTCTCTAATGTGAGACCGCATTTTAAACCCAATAAAAAATTTTAAAAATAAATCCCAGAAAAGTAAAACCCCTTGAAAGTCATTTCCCTCCACCTTAGTGCTTGCTTTAGCCTGGGTAAGAAACCAAGCCCTCAGGACCCAACACCAGATTTACGAATCTGACTCTTCCGGATGCATGTTTTGCAATGTGCTGGTGGTTCAAAGGTCACTTTGACAGGTGTGGAAGGGCTGGGGGGTTGGGGAGGAAAGAGTCGCTGTTTCCCACTCTGGGCTGGAGGGCGCACTATGACACTTCAATTACGCTGCATTCATATTTCTGCAGGTATCTAGGAACTCTGAAATATGCAAATACACCTACAACGGGTTCCATTCAAAAATGTACTCCATGTTCAACGGGTCCATTTTGACCTTGGTTGCGCTATACAATTTCACTTTAGCGACCCAAGTATTAACAAGATAAACAGAATGCAAAATCATTCGGGGAAACCTGCCGTTCAGCTGGCAGGATTTTTGTAAGGCTTTTAGTAACAAGGGGAACACAATGTGTCCACAGTGCTGGCAGCTCCCTCTGTGGACTCAAGCTTTCCAAACCTTCAAGTCCCTTCGGCCTCTTGGCAGTGTTAAAAATGTTGCTGCATGGAAGTCCTTTCAGCAACTTGGCAAGTCTATCCAAAAACTACACATCAAATACGTTCTTGGGGACGATGATCCTGCTTGCACGCAGGGGACTGCTCCGAGGAACCGCACGGTGTCCTTGCCACGCAGAAACGGGAGCAGCTGCTTCACAAACAGGAAACACTACACAACACGTCGGTGTCAAACTACAGGCGACAGGCACAGACATACTGCGCCGGCGACTCCACCTGCTAGTCAAGCCCAGGAGGGACCCTGACTCGGTGCACATCAAAGGGAAGGCTCTTTTGGGGACTACCGGGTGCTTGGGGTGAGCTGTGCAAAGGCACCTGGGCAAGGTGACAAAGGAGGCATAGCTCGAAGCTCCAGGCCACTCCCCTTAGCATGCAGAGCAAAGGGCCTCATTCCGAAGCGCCCTCTTTCCAGGCGATGCAGCCACGAGGTTGTCAACTGCACGCACAAGGCCTTTTTCAGTTGGGCCTGCAGTATCTGCAGGCTCCCTGATGCTTCAGGAGCAGCGCAGCTGGCTGCGAAAGTGGGGCAGTGGGGACGAGGACCTGACAGGTCGCGGCTACCGAGGACTCGTGGTCTAACGGAGGCGGAGCTGCAGGAACGAGGCCCGCTCCGGCAGGGGCCCCGTCAAGTCGAGGCTGGTGTGACAGACAGGACACAGATGCGACAGGGGTCACACATCTCTGTGCTGCTCAGCTCATAGGGTCCTCTTAAGCAGCCAGAGAGAGAGAGAGAGAGAGAGAGAGAGAGAGAGAGGAATCACTCCCACCCCACAGTCTGGAAAAGCTGACTTCAGTAAGCCAGCAAGAGCTGGGGATCAAATCCAGAACTAAATGACTCAACCGCTCTTTCCAGGGTGGGTCCAAAGGAGGCACCGGGGGGGTGGGTGGAGGGGCCCCCGAGCCAGGCAACCATAAACAAAGGCATCGTGTCTCCTGACTCTGTGTGACCCCCAGGATGTGGTGGCATGGGGTGCAGTGAGCGCTGGAAGCTGCAGGGCGCTCTTTGATTGGATACTCAAAGCAGCCCCTTTTGCACAGGAAGCTTCTGAGGGTAGCTATGGGCAGCTGTGACCCAGGCAGGCCAGGGAGCACAGGTTAGACCTCTGCATGTCCCCAGGCCTCGCTGGCCAGGGCCTGCCTCTCCACACCAGGGCTTCTTATGACCCCGTCACTCACAGGACGCACTGCTTCGCAAAACTCCAAGCCTTTGTGCTTTGCAATACATTTTCAATATCAGGAACCAGAATGTTCTTTCTCCTTCCTGGATTCAAAATGTATACCTGTTCTTTAAGGCCACTTCCAGCTTCTCTTCTTCCACAGGCCTTTCCTGTTGCCCCAGCATACTCCAAGTCTTTTGCCCTTAGGAGCACTTGCACACCCATCTGATATTTCATTTTATACTGCAGGTGGACGGCTCATATTTGAGTTGAGAGCTGGCCTCTCGGATCATCACGGACCAAGGGCAGGCTAGAAGTGCTGTGCATCGGCCCCAGAACGGAGAGGTCCCGTTTCCCATTGCATTTCAGCCTAGGATACGTTTCTATTGCCTAACAGCAAAGTTACAACAACTGACTGAGAAGTGGCAGACTTACGGCCGTTGGCTGGAGGCAGGCTGGTGCTGTGTTTCCAAGACACAGCAGGTAAGGCAGGAAGGCAGGCTGCAGGTAAGAGGGAGGACTCTAGGAAAACACAGAGTTCCCACCAGGAACTCACACCTTTACCCTGGGGGTGGAGGGGCATGGGGGATGGGAGAGGCTGCCATCAATCATCTGCACTGGAGCCCCGCCTCACTTCTCAGGAGCTCAGGATGGGAAGGGCGCGAGTGGCACCAGGTTTCCATCACTGAGACACACGGTTACGCATCGGCTTCTCCCAAAGGGCCCACACACCAGGACCGGGGCAGGGAGCTCACAGGAAGGGGAAGAGCCGAGGGTGCCGAGATGACCCAAGCGGTCACATGAGATGGAACCTTCTGGCTAACCCTTACAGATCAACGGCACATCCGCTGACCTAACATTTTGCTTGCTGTGGCTCTGTCTCCCCCTTGCCTAGGGGCTGCCACTGTGGTGTGCGTCAACCAGCAGGCCTGATGCCTCCTCGCCCGCCTCTGGCAACACAACTTGGAACTGTCCCCAAAAGCCCTCCCCCATACCTCGCTCTTGAATGGCCACCTGCCGTATCCTCTACGCCAACCTTGCAGGCAAGTTTGGACATGGGTGCTGGCCTCTCTCAGACTGCCCAGCAGGATACGGAAACCACACAGACAGAGGGGGTTGGCTGTACAACGCGGCTATCGACTGCACAGCCTGCACGCCGGGTCCTGATGCGCGCTCCTACAGAAATGAACACGTAATCTACACGAGTTACCTCTGGTCAATTACAAATTCATGGTTTTCCAAGGAAACTCTAGGTCCACACGAAGACCACAAGCTACACAATTTGCAAGTCCTGAAACTTTAAAGGGGCCTAAGTCACAATCCTAAAAGACCACTTTCTGTCAGCTACACATTTTTCCACTAGATAGAAAGGGGGAGGTGGTGAGATTTTTTTCTTTGCACACAAGGAAAAATAAAATCCACTGAGCTGGCCCACTCCAAGTTGCCGCAAGCAACGCTCCACTTTCATCCGGCCGGTGTCCACTGACCATAGAGCCATTTCCGAAAAAAAAAAACGCAGTCCCCAAATACTTTAAATTACATAGCAACGAGAACCCCCTACTCTATAAGCATTAGAAAGACGCACCCCAATCTCAACAACTAAAAATCGACTCCATAAATTCCATTCAACAACTGGAAGCAGAAAAGCTCTGCCACTTCGGAGAACTCTTCCCGCACTCTCACACACACACACACACACACACACGGGGTCACTGACAGCCAGCACGTGTTGAAAGCCCCCAGGAGACTTAGAGCAGCTCTCCTACCTATGAAATTTTTTTTTTCTTCTTCAGATCACAAAATAATACATGGCTATAAACTGCAATTCTGCCCGGAACCTCAGAGATTCCTAAAGACCTCCATTGTCAAGGCTGGCAAAAAAAAAAAACTGAAGAAGAGCCCTTACCTGGTGCAGGCTGCCGCTCATTGCACTCCGTGGAGATCAGAATCTCTATGGCTTTCACAAAGTGTTCCGTGTTCTCAGAGCTGCAAGAAACAAAAGCTTTATTGGAGACCTCTGGTCCTAAAAAAAAAAAAAAAATGAACCGTGCCCATTTAGGCACCCATAACCTTGCACGGCTAACTGTGAAGTCCCAAACGTTCCAATACAGTTGTGGGCCAATCCGGTGGCCACCACCCATCCCCGCAAGAAGCCCAGAATCCCGGGTGCCCTTCTTTCTCTTACCTGGCTGCAGGGAATCTAAAAAGCAGAGGGCTGAAGATTTCTGCGAGCACTCTTGCACTTAAGAGATTCTTGTTGGAGGACTGTGAGAGCTTGAAGAAATGTTTAAGCAAATGCTGCAGCGTGAGCCAGTGCTGAGGAGGGACGCCAGGCAAGCGGATGAGCTTCTTCAACACCTGCATGTAGTCCCCGGGGCTTTGTATTTCTTCATGTTAAAGGGAGAGAGAGAGTGGGGGGCAAAATAAATAAATAAATAAAAATGCATGACTATTTCCAGTCTCTCTTCCTCCTGGACCACTGTGAATCTCTGTTCTAGCGGCCGGAGTCACCTAACAAGCCATGAAGGGGAGCAGAGAAGACTTCTGCTCTGCTCAGCAGAGAATGCATTGTGAGAAAGTAGAAACGTAAGAAGCTCTTCCTGTTGCAGAAACCACAGGCCGTGCAGGGTGTTCTAGCGCAAACCTGCCCAGCTGCTAGGCAGATTCAAGCCGATGGGCTGGCTGGCTGGCTGGCTGGCTGGCTGGGAGGAGGAGGAGACTGGTATCATGGGGTTTGACTCTGAAGGTGAGGAACCACAGCTTCCTGTGCTCAGAGCACTCAACTAAGCCGTGGGCTCCAAACGTCTGCAGTCCCCTCACCGTCCCTGACCTCTCTCAACACGTCTGGCTGCTTATGTCCACTTGGAGAAGATGGTCAGAACCCTCTCCGCAGCCTGGACCCTACCTAGTCCTGCCTGGGCCTCTGATTCGGGCATTTCCTTCACAGGGGTTGTTGCTACTGCTGGAAGGGTAATAAGCAGTTGTTGCCACATGCCTATCAGCTTCCTAAGCAAGTGGGAGTCTGACTCTCCTCCAGGGGACAGTGAGGGCCGGTGTGGGAAGGAGTGGTGGTGGTGGTGTGGGGAGGACCATTCACCCCCTAAACATGCAGCATTTGGTTGGGCCACAAGGATACCCACCCCTCAAAACATGCCCCCCCCCAATCCTGGTCCTTCCTGGAGAGGAACCCACCTTGGGCTAAGGAGACCATCTCGCTGTACACAGCTATGGGAATGATGGGATTGGGTAAGTCCAGGAGATAGCGTTTGAAGGCATCGGCTAAGACGTGTACATCCAACACTGTGAAGTCCACGGCCGCTGCGTCTAGGAAAGCAACATTTTAAGAAATCTTTCAGATATTTATTTTGACTTAGATGTGAGCCCGGAAAGGAAGGGAGAGGAGGACAAACACGAGGCATGAAGTGGTTTGATTATGATTTATTAGAGGTGGCTCGCGGCATCAGGGTAGCACAGCTCTGCTCGCTGTAGCTTGGACCCACACTTACTGTCAGCACTGAACACGCCTGGCCCGGGATTGCCTGGAGCCCACTCCCAGACTCCAGTACAATAAAAACCAGCATTGCTGTTCTAGGCTGAACCGTGTTGCACCCTGTCCAGCTCCGAGGGTGCAAGCCTAACCTCCCACCCCTGTCCCTGCACACCGCAGAAAGTGACCGTGAACTGGAGAAGGGGCCTTGTGGAACAGGCCATCAAGTAAGAGGGAGACCACGAGCAGAGCCCCTGATCAAACTGACAGGTGCCCTTGGAAGAGCGGAGGGTGAGTACAGAGAGAGAAAGAGAAAGAGAAAGAGAAAGAGAAAATGAAAGAGAAAGGAGAGGGCAGGGGAGGGGAGAGAGGAGAAAGGATGGGAGGGGAGGGGAGAGGAGGGGAGGGGAGGAGAGGAGGAGAGGAGGAGAGGAGAGAGGAGAGGAGAGGAGAGGAGAGGAGAGGAGAGGAGAGGAGAGGAGAGGAGAGGAGAGGAGAGGAGAGGAGAGGAGGAGAGGAGAGGAGAGGAGAGGAGAGGAGAGGGGAGGGGAGGGGAGGGGAGGGGAGGGGAGGGGAGGGGAGGAGAGGAGAGGGAGGGGAGGGGAGGGGAGGGTATGGGAGGGGAGGGGAGGGAGAGGAGGAAAGGGGAGGGGAGGAGAGGGGAAGGGAGGAGAGGGGAGGGGAGGAGGAGAGGAGAGGGGAGGGGAGGAGGAGAGGGGAGGAGAGAGGGGAGGGGAGAAGAGGGGAGGGGAGGGGATAAAAGGGGAAGAGAGGAGAGGGGAGGGGGGAAGAGAGGGTAGGGGAGAGGAGAGGGAAGAGGGGAGAGGGGAAAGAGGAGAGGAGAGGAGGGGAAGGGAGGGGAGGAAAGGGGAAGAGGGGTGAGGAGAGGAGAGACATGCCAGGGACACAGGCCCAGAGGAACGACAGGGGAGGGCGAACGTGCAGGGGTGAGGCCTCAGGGAACAGCAACCCTTGCCCTCCAGTGCCCAGATTTATAGACACACTCTGGGGGGTGGTCCTGCTCTGCCTGGGAAGTGTTCTGGCTGGGAATGGGCATTCAGGCTTAGCAAATGTTTCCTCAAACCTCACTAGAAAGATGCGGAATGCAAAGATCCCAATGGGTGCTGACATGCACTGCATCTCAGTATCAGTCCACATCAGCACACAGAGACGTTAGAATTTTAGCCCCTGATTTCAAGAACATCCAGAAGACAGACTAGCACTCTCTCTTAAGGATCTCCCCGCAGGCAGACTACAGCCAACTGCACCTATGGACGTCCCTACCCCAGGATGAAAGCTGACAGGTGCAGCCGCTGTGTGCTGTATTTTCTATCCAGGAAAAGAGCCCAGACAGTTTGATAATGGGCCATGCTTCTCAAAACGACTGGGAGCGCTCACGGTGTGCAACCCCTAGGATCCTTTGGGGCAGAGAGAGACAGAATGCTCAGCAGAAAGAAGGGATAAGACAGAGCAGGAAGGCCCCAGGACTCCTGGAAGCGAGAGGCAGCACGAGGCTGTTGCTGAAGCCGAGAAGGAAATCTGGAGGGAGGCTGACTCAGACGAGCAAAGGTGGCACAGGGAGCTACACCTTGACCCAGCTTGATGAAATGCAGCGTGCGCAAGAAACTGCAAAGGAGTTTTGCTCATCTGAAGTCAAGTGATGGGGTCTGAATTCTGCTGCAGCTAAGAGAACAGGAAACCCTATCCAGAGCCAATTTCCCTGGGCGGCTGTCTGGATTCCATAGTAGCTTAGGAGAAAGAGAAAGCAACAAAGTAGCAAGCCACTAGATCCTCCGGAGTTTAGTCCCTCTAATCTGAGCTTAAGCCAGCAGCGTGAACTAAATTGGCCTCCCCAAGCAGGTAGATGTTGTCAAAGATAAACAGGCCATAGGACAAAGCTCTTAAAAAAAAAAAATCACAGATAGGTCAGCGGGAGGAAAGTTAGGTGGGGCAAAGTGTTACAATCACTTAAATGTCTTGCAAAGGGCAGCCTGAGAGGTTTCTCCTCCCTGACAAGTGTGGGGGGTGCAAAACCAGTATGCGCAAGTTAAGGACCCCAGAAATTCGGTCCAAGTGTAATCAAACACTGCCCAATCATGGGGCGAGTGCAGTGCCACAGGAAGCCCACTCCCGCCCCTGCCAGCCCCCAGACACTGTCTCTCTGGCAAGCTGCAGGGCCTCCTGTCTGCTGCTTGCCTGTGTGCTACGCTGAGTTTGCTCATTTGGGAAACTGCGATGCATCACTTGGCAACAGTGAATGAACATCAGGCCTGTAAATACACGCTGGGCCCTCCCTTACGCACGGCTTCCCTCTGCACACCTGTGTGCTGAAAAGTGGTCCCCCATGAAGACACTGCCCAGCAGTGTGGTCCCCGAGTGGAGAGCCTGTGTCACCTGGCTGACAGCACCTCCAGGGCACGGATGCAGACTCACCCCTGCCCCTCCCGCATCCCCCAGCATCCCTGGAAGCCCAGCACTGCAGCCACCCCTGCTCCTCCAGCATCCCTGGGAGCCCAGCACTGCAGCCGCCCCCTGCTCCTCCCTGCAGCCGGGCTGCACTGTGTCCGCTCAACCAGGCTCTGCATCTGAAAGGGCCCTCCTCAAGTGTGAATGAAAACATCTCATGCATGCCCCAGGAGTAGCCCAGCTAAGGAGGTCAGATTCCACTGGGACAGGAGACACGGCAAGGTTTATTTTATGCTTACGATAACATAACTTCCAGAATTCCTTGGAGTGTCAGACTTCCACTGTGTGGGACTCCCGCAAAGCAATAACCCAAACATGCCCTTGCAGGAGCATGCTCATGGTTCCTGTGTGATGAAGTTTGAGGAGCTAGGTGAGCCCTCTGGCAGGGTGGCAGGCATCGGCCACTCGCTTCTGCCTTGGGTGTCCCTGACTGCCCGTGGGACCGCTGACCAGCACCTTCTCCAGCACTTAACTCCACACCCCCAACTGATCTCTATTAAGGTGAGAGGTTCTCGGTGGAGGGGTACAGGCCGGGGAGGGAGGGCAGGAATCCCCTCTCCCTGGAGACGCCTGACAACGTCCAATGACATTTTTGATTGTCACAACTGGGGTGGTGTGCTCCCAGCACCCAGAGTGTGGGAGATCTCTCTGCGTGCTGGGATCACACACTTAGCACGCAGAAGCACATCCTACGACGCACATCGGTTGCCTGATCTGCTCCAAGAGAAACCAACACGACAGGCAACAGATGGAGCAGAAAGAAGAGAACAAAAGCTCCCTGCTTGTGACCTGGGAAAGCAGCTGAGAAAAAAAGAAGAAGAGGAAGAGGAGGAAGATGAAGCAGCAGCAGGAAGAGATGAAGCAGACAGAAAGGAAAGAAAAAAGAACAAGGCCTCTTGGAGTCAGCTCATTTTGGATCCCGTTCTGGCGCTTTCCCTCTGCCCCTGAAAAATGTCAGGGAGATGAGCGATTCCCCATCCACCCATGACATTGACACTGCAAGCTTAATTAGTAGGTGCTAATGGGAGCGGGCTGCTGTCCTCCGAGGGCAGCAAGGGTTGGCCGGAAAGCAAGGCTCGTGCAGTTCTTAGTTGTAAATGACTTACTCTGGAGCAATGTCCTCCAGGATATTGGGATTTGTTTTATGTACAAAAGAAAAACCTTGGAGCTGCAAACTGTTCTGCAAGATCCACTTGCAAATCTGGACACACCGGCTCTTTTTTTTTTTTTTGGCCACAGCTTTCACGTGCATAGCTCAGGATCCAAATGCAACCTGTTGTCTAGGAGTTGTGCGTTTCGCCCCAACAAGCAGAAAACAGCTTTTGTCAAGGCACACCGCTGACGTGAACCCTGGTGTTTGTTCCGTCTCGCGGTGGTGTATATTTTTTTAAGCTAAACGATATTATTTGGCATCATTCACATCACTAACCACCGTTTCGCAAATGGCTTTCGATTCAAAGGTCTCTGATGTCTAAACACTTCCTGTGACTTCTAACAAGTTCAATGTGTCCAATTTGTTGACCAAAACATATACAAGCACCTGCCTTTCAATTGATTAACAAAAGTACTCAGTGTTCCCTGAAGCCTTGAAAAAGTTGGTAGAAATAGAGAAAAATCAAAGCTTTCCATCCTGAATTTCTGCCAGTCAACTTCCAGTGACCAATGCTGCAGGGCAGTACAAGGGAAAATGAAACTTAAGAAAAAAAAAAAACCGCTGAAGTCTGAAAATAGAGTTACTTCTTGCTAATGACTTGGGCCCACTGTTTCTCTTTGCTAGCAATCTTGCTAAGTTGCCTCACTTCCAATTCCCATTTTCCAAGCATCACATGGGCATTCTTCGTACAATTACACTTCTGGAAGGAAATTCCAGAATTAGGCTTCATTCTTTGGGGTTCAAACATTCGGATTCAGTTATAAGAATGTGGGGCAAAAAAATTTTTTTTCTGGGGAAAAGGAAAGTACAAAAGAAGGAGAGTGCCACAGAAGACAGCTCGCTGGAACGATGGCAGACACAGGGGTTAGTGGTTTTATCCTGTCTGTGACAGAGGTGCGCGGAAGACAGGGCGAATCAGGCCAGCACCTGGCTGAACTCTTAGCGTCACTTAACCAATCGCATCCTGGCGATGCCTTGTTGCAGCTCACAAGCGCCAACTGCCTTCCATGCTTCCCCATCCTTCCATGCAGGGACATCAGCTAAGTTAGCTTCAGATCGACCACGGTGTGAGTACCAACACTACGTAGGAGCGGGGCAAACGACAGACCAGGGCTTTGCCAGGGAGTTGGCAAACTAGCACGCCACTGAAGGCAACAGTATCGCACGTGTGTCTGCCATGGAAAAAGCAAGCAGGAAAGGAGTCCAGCCACGGAGCCAGACAGAAATGAAAAGAGAAAAAGCAAAACGAAAGGGGAAAGACAAATTTATGAAGAGGTGACTAGTGGAAACGTTTGTTAAATGGTGTTGGTTAATACATATATATATACACATATAATCTGTGTGATTCTGGATGCGTTAGAGGCAGACCACAGAAGGAAGCGGGAAATGTGGTGGAAGGAGACAGGCAGAGGACTCTCAAGGCTTCCGTTCTCAGGGGCCTGTGTCCAGGATGGTGGTCCACCTGCTGCCAGCAGACACGCACGCACACACACAGGCCAGCACCCCTCAACTCAGGGCCTATGGCCGTGATGGAGGCCCACCTGCTGCCAGCAGACACGCACGCACACACACGCCAGCACACCTCAACTCAGGAGACGAGCTTCCAGGCACTGAGCCAGCCTGCTTCCCCAGCTGAGCCACACAGAAGGACCTGAGCGAGCCCGGTCAGAGCTTACATCTACCACGTCACACGGGGTGGGCTACACGAACACTTGTGTTCATTATGTACAAGGAAAAGGGGGAGGGCTAGCTAGCATCCCCCTCGGTGTCCACCGCTCCCACACACTCACCACCATCGAGAAGCTGCCGTAGTTCTGCCGGGCTGCTGGAGCTCTGTGTTCTGTAGAGGGTGGCACATTCCAGACCTAGGACCCCAAACAGACCGGATGTTCAATGCACTGCTTTCTGGAGCCCTTGGGACACATATGCTGGGTTCCATCCAGGAGCTAGCCTGGATGTGCCCACAATGGCTCTATGCCCATCCTTCCTCTTATCTGGTACATCAATAATGTTGGCCAAACCACCTGGCTACCAAGAAGCAAGTGATTCATACTTGTTCGATGTTCAAGGATTGAATAATTTCCATACAGTAACTGCAGGTCAGTTCATCTACAGTCATAAAGCACAGGCCGAGACTCTGCTCACGACCACTCCCCCAACCCCCCGCGCCAAAGCCTGTGTGTCTGCCGGCATGGTGTCCGCACACGGCAGACGGTAAGAAACAGATTTCAACAACATGCGAGAGACAAACGCAAAGCCACACAAGCCACACGGCAAAAGGCCCAGGACTGGAGGAAGCACTCACCTTTCTTCTCGATGGCTTCCACAAGCTTCCCAAGAAGAGGCGGGGCGACGTCAGGAGGGGCGAACTGCTCTGCCAGATCTGGAAGGGTCGAAGCTGCAAACAAACAGAATCCCGCTGTTGGCGATCCCATCTGGCGATGCTAGGTGCGCTAGACCAGATGAAGAGTCTCAAATACAAGACAATGTAAATAAATGACATCTGACAGGGGTGGGCCCCGTGCTGGGCCCCCGGTTTTGGCAGATCTACCCCAAATCTCCCAGGTTTGCTATGGCCTCCTCCCCAGGTCAGACGTTCCTGCCCAGGTGTGTGTTGGCTCCACGTGTGACCTGGAACTAGGGTTTACATGTGCAGGGGAGAGCCAAAGAATGGCTCAGGGCCCTGCTTCTCTCCACCTCACCACAGATCCAAGAAGCCCAAGGAACTCCACACCAATGTGTGTGGGGCATCCACAGGGCATAGAAAAGCTTTTAAGGGCCTGGCGCTGTGGCCTAGCGGCTAAAGTCCTTGCCGCCCTACACACACCCAGGATCCCATGTGGGTGCCAGTTCATATCCCAGAGACCCTGCTTCCCATCCAGCTCCCTGCTTGTGACCTGGGAAAGCAGCTGAGGATGGCCCAAAGCCTTGGGACCCTTCACCTGCGTGGGAGACTTATAAAAAAGCTTCTGGCACCTGACAGCGGATTGGCTCAGCTCCAGCTATTGCAGCCACCTGGGGAGTGAATCATCGGATGGAAGATCTTCCTCTCTGTCTCCCCTCCATTCTGTATATCTGACTTTCCAATTTAAAAAAAAAAAACAAATAAATTTAAAAAAAAAAAGGCTTTTCAAGGGGCCACTGTTGTGGCACAGCCCGTTAAGCAGCTGCCTGTGACCTCAGAGCCCCATACGGACTCCTTGCTGCTCGATTTTCAGTCCACCTTCCTGCTCGCTCATGTGTCTGGGAAAGCATGGGAGGTTGGCTCCGTGCTTGAACCCCCGCCACCCACCCGGGAGACCCAGCTGGAACTGTGCACATCCCCGGCTTTGGCCTGGCCCAGCCCCAGCCACCGTGGTCATGCAGGCAGCCAAGCAGCACCCAGACAAGCTAATGTCAGTCTTTCCATCATTCTGCCTTTCAAAAAAATAAACCTCAGAAATGAATTTTATTGGAAACTCCGGGAAGATGATTTCTAGCTCAACTATCTGGATGGGGGTACTTGGGTCTCCCCCTGTGTTCCTGCCCCAGGTTGCACGAACATCAGGCTAGACGTGAGGCCAACACGCGTGATCACTGCTCGCGTGACATCCGTGTAAGGCAGTGTGTAGCGGCTGCTGAAGCCTTTGCTCGCTCTTCTGTATCTCGGATGATTCACGTTAAGAAATGTGATGCCTGCATGTCTGACCACGTGTGAGACTGATACAAAAAAGTCACACTGGAGGACATTTACCAATAACTTTCTCCAACACTAGACAATGATAACCATCTCACTGCGAAAACAGCTTGAACCCATCTTCAGTCAAGAGCTCATGCTGAAACCTACCAGAAGAGGGCGCTAAACACATTCAACTCGGATTTCTCCAGCTGCAGACCACAAGGAACGCATCCAAGGCAAGGTCTGCAGGCGCAGCCCGATTATCAGCCATCCGTAAAGAACTACGTAGAAGGTTCCCCACCGGCGCTGCTTTGGAGCTGGCTTACATCATCACAGGCCGTCTAAATGCATCCTTGTGCTTCTTGCCTCACTCCCTGCGATTCCAGTGTGGGACTCTTCATCAGCCAGGCATCAGCTAAAGCCCTTATGTCAAATACTAAAGAACAGCACAGAATAACAACAGTCATGAGGCAGGGCCGGACCACCGATTTAGTTCTCAGAGAACGAAGAATGCTTCGGGTTATTTGGCAAGCCTGAACTCTGCTCTAGGAGCCTTCTGGGCTGCAGATGAACACACAGGGTACCACCACACCACTGTTCGCTGCTCATTGAGCCGGGATGAAAGAGAGCTGCACGCTGCGGGCATGTTCTACGGCAGTACAAGTGGCACAGCAGCCAGGCCTGGCAGAACTTTCTGTCTGCGTAGAAGTGGTCCCTACTCCTGCCCTCCAGGAGAGTGGCTACTGAGTGTACGAAACGTGGTCATCATGCTTAGGAAACTGCACTTTGAATGACGCAAGTTGAAATAGCTATTTGCAGCGAGTGACCTCAACAGGACAAAACACGGGTCTTAACAGCCCAAGTTAGGGCAGGCAGCAGCTGAACTCAATCTCCTGCAAAGACAACTGCTCAGCTTCCGGTGGGGCTGTCCTACTGCACGCCACCTCCCCTTCTACATTCTGCACTTCATCAGGGCAAATATTCATGTGGGGGACCTGCTGAGAACACACCCAGCAACAAGAACCCCCCTCCCCCAAAATCTCTACGTATGGTTCACATGCGACTGCATCAACGAAGTCTTCCAAATGAAATTCTTCCGTTTCAACCTTGTGAGTGAAAAACTGTGTAAAACTCCTGTGAAAGCGCAGACCATCTCATTTCCTCTGATAAACCGTAAGCCACTTCCTCGTCTTAGACGGCTCAAATGATGTGCTAACAAAAGTATCCTCCCCCACAAATACCTTCCGTGCTAAAGAACTGAAGCATCATCCTACGGGAACAGGAAATGGAAGGGAATCAGAAAGACAGAAATAGGACATAAGGAACGTTGCTGATTGGGATTAATCCATTTTCTTGGGGCTGCTCTTGTGGCTTAGTGAGTTAAGCTGCCGTGTGCAATGCTGGCACTGCACGAAGGTGCCTGCTACAGCAGCAGAGGATGGTCCAATACTCGGGTCCCTGCACCAGCGTGGGAGATCCAGAAGAAGCTCCTGGCTACTGAGTTAGGTGTGGGCCCAGCTCTAGTCACCGCAACATTTGGAAAAGTCAATCAGTGGATAGAAGATTCTCTGTAACTTTGCCATTCGACTATTCAACTAAACAAAACACGTATTTACTTCATTTATTTGCCAAGTCGACAGAGATCTTCCATTCAGGAATTTGACTCTCCCAAATGCTTACAACGGGGGTGGGGTTTGGCCTGGCTGAAAGAAGGTGCCAGAAACTCAAGCTGGGTCTCCCACGTGGGGACAGAAACCCGAAGACTTGAGCCTCGCCTACTGCCTCCAGGGCACAGGGAGCTGGAGTCAGCTGCTGAATCCTAGAAGCCAGGCCCTCAGAGAGGGACGGACGCACAGGTGTCAGGGCAGCGCCTTCCCCGCGGCTCCAGGCGTCCATCCTGCCGTCTCCGAGGCCCCACGGTCTCAGCACTTTGGCCCATTCAGGCAGGTGAGATTCACCCGCAATGACGCAGACACGCACATGCGCACCACGCCCGTGCAGCCAACACAAGTAAACACGCACGCAGAAGACAACCTTTGGCACCGGCGATGTGAGTGGAATAACTTTAGAAAGGTCTACCTCCTTCCAGAATCTTCGCGGCACGCTTTCTGCCCACAAATAAGGAAGTGAAAGGAAATGATAATGACGGATGTCATCTTATTCTGATTGAAATATGCACTCCGCACTGGTTACACTGCCGGGCTGCCACATGCTACGTGTTGGAAAAGGTTTCCATCTTTCTGCTCCAATTTAAAAAAAAACAACCAAACAAACAAACAAAAAACGGTAAACTCTTTGCTTTCTTTTTCCCTTCCAGTGTTTTTTTCAAAGAGAAAGTTTACGGACAGTTACCGTCAGCAATGCAACAGCAACTCCTTTACCTGTCCGGGTGTTTCTGTGACAACTCGAAGGGAGCTCTGAGGCCACAGACTTCTAACTCACCCCAGATTAGATCCTTCAAAAACTACACACAAATCTTAGGAAGCACAAATACTCCTCTTCCGAGAGGTTCCATTTCAAACTCGACTTTGCATATTGCACAACACGTTCGCTGTTCAAACTCTCCAATCTTCCCAAGTTAAGTTATCTGCCATGAGAGTTGCAAAAAAAAAAAAAAAAAAAAGTTTCAGGAGGAGAGAATTCTCCCCACCGCCACCCCCCACCACGAAGTAACAATTCAAGGATTTCCTATTCTCTGTACAAAGTCTGTGACTCAATGCTTTTCCCCTTTAAAATATTCCAAAAGGGGAATGGGATGGAAGCCCTGCTCTGGGGACCGGCTGGCTCCTCCCTTCAGCCACTTTGGGGGAACAGGGCCACTTACTATCAAAAACCTTACCAGAAAAATAAATCAATAAAATCAAAAAGTTCATCTGTACCACAAGCCTAAAACCTACGATTCCTTTCATCCCAGCAAATCCGCCAAGCTCACTATCTGCTTTCCCATTAGGTTCCATTTTACAGAATTCCAACAGGAAACCGACAATTGCTTAGGACCTGTTCAACTCGGCAAGTTGTTCTTTGAAAACATCATGCAACTGGACGCACCAAAACATAACAGACTAAAAAGAAAGAAAGGACACAGAGGGGAAAAAAAAAAAATATACCAGTCATGAGAACTGAGCGACCAAGCCAAAACGCCCACTCACAGAGCACGGTCCCCCGAAAGCTGCGGACATTTTTAGCACAGTCCATTTGTAAGAAGATTTGTATACCTGAATGAGGAATGCACCCCGGTTTGGAAGGCGGCGGCTGCTGCACAGTATAAAAATCTGGAAGACTGAGTCCACTCTTCAGAGCCTGGGTGAATTTGTAGATCCCTCGGCTACAATCCAATCCCAGTTTTTCGCTTCGCTGAATCATGCTTCGTCAAAAGCGATCAATCCCCGTTCAAGGGCGGAGGAAGGGAGACAGACCACCAGAACCCGAGACGCGGACTATCCCACGAGAGGCAAGGCATTTGCCTACGCTAGCGACAAGAACAGAGGCGACCAGGTGGCCCAGGTTGTCCGGAAGACTTTCTCAAGACACGCCACAGGCTGCGTTCTCCACTCGTCCTGCGCTGCCTTGCTCCAAGCCGGTGATAACCAATCACGCAAGGCGGAAGGGAGCCGGTTCTCCACACACACGCCCTTCCCAAACCACTGGATGGGGACAGGCCTCAACAGTCCCTGGGCCCCAGCCGCGTGTGGGAGACGGTGGCATTCTTCGCATCATGTGGTGCCAACAGTGCTGTGCAG